CCGAATCAAAAAAACGGATATCCGGATAAAATTTATCGGATAAACGGATGACGGATTGATCCGGATTGGAACTCTAAAATTGTGGGGTAAAAAAAAAAATAATAAACTTTTTTTTTAAAAAAAAAAAAAATTAAAAAAGGTATATGCAATAGTTCTCAACATAATCAAATAATCTAGTATCATAGTTCGAATCAGCTATAAATATATATATATATATATATATGCATATCAAGTAACTGATTTGATCTATTATTTGAAATCTAACCTAATTAAGTACTTGGCCATCAAGTTTTTGCTTTAGGTTTAATCATTACTAGGCTTATTTTCAGTACCTTCTTCTGGATGGTTTGTTAAGCTAGGATGCAGTAAAGGGTCATGAGTGTCAAGTATCGCCATCTGTGCTTTCTAATAAAGAATCAGTAATTATACTAATATAAAAATTAAATAGCGAATAATTTGAAAATCTTTAAATGCTAACTTTTAGTTGTTCTGCATCATCAAAACCGATGAAATCTGGATTTAATTTCAAATTCATCAAAGCATTCTCCAAAAGAATCTTAACATCGTAAAGTTTTTTTTCAGGAGGTCTAAACAGTACACCAACAGGAACTGAAAAAACAGAGAAACCCTATGCAATATGTTAGATATAAAAATAAAATGCTAATAATTAATTATACTTGGTATGATTTGTATATCGAAAAAAAAAACTTACAATACCTGACCTCGAATTTGAATGGCTTCATCAATAACATCATGACCTTCTGTTAGTTTTTCTTTTGCTGCAAGGGAAAGATCAGCCATACCTTGTTCCGTTTGATCAAGGTTTAAATAGCAAATCCCTCTGTTAAATAGGATTTCGCAAGAATAAAGACAGAAATTGAGGCCTAACTGCTCATATGTGACAAGCATATTGCCACGAAGAAACTAAAATTGAAAGAACGACTTCAATCGAATGTAATATTTTAATTGCATTTTAAGACAAAAAAAATTAACAAAATACCTGTAAAGCATCATTGAAATCTACAAGTGCTTTTTCAAATTCACCCAGCAAAAAATTCGATACACCTTTTTGAAAGTATCCCACAGCAAAATATTGATCCAATTTTACTGATTTTTTAAAGGACTGACACTTTAGTGAAAATTAAGAATATCTTTCAATTTATCTTTCAATTCAATAATCGATAAAACTGCTTAACGAGAGGCAAAGTAGAAAAAAGTGTATAAAACTCACCGCTTCTTCATGCTCGCCAAGTGCGGCATAAATTAGGCCAATATTGAAATGAACTTTTGCATTGTCATCTATAGTCTATTGGCAATTGTTAAATAAATTGGAAGAAAAAGAAAATAATGTAGAAAGCAACTAAGATATTGCTTGGAACAAAGCTCAGATCAACGTGTTTAACAACTCTACCTTAAAGCAATCCAAGGCCCGGTCGAAATCTACTTCATCATAAGCTTTGATGGCATCTCTCCATTGTTCTAATTCGTACTAAAAGAAATTTTGTTAATTTTTCTCGTCCCAAAAAATCAGGATGATACTTCGAAGTGTGTAGAATGGATATTAAACCAACCCTTAGAGTCATGTTATCCTGTACCAGTAAATTTGGTATAAATTTTTAATTTGAAGCTCTGAAATGAAGATGAATTATTTATTACCTAGTTCTTTTAGACATGAAACATAATAAAATATCGATTGCATCGTGTAACAAACTATTCTCTTGATTTTAATACCAACACTAGTTAGTGTAATTCTACCGGTTAACTGAATACGTAGCTGTATTATCCTTTTTTGAATACTTTGTAGATAATCAATCAGCAGATAACTAATTTACAGGCAAGAATTACTATTTAGACAATTGATTCACGGACAAGTTCATTCCAAAGATAATTATTTCACGACAGCTCATTATCATCATTAGGATTGAGTTTAGAATTAGAGTTAAGGCTAGTGAAATTAATAAAAAAAATTTGTAAAATGAACTGTTAGTGAAATAAGCTGCCTATATATGAGTTATAGATAAAATAAGCAGTTAGTTGTTTATGAACTAAGTTGCATAAAACAATAATGGATGAAATGATATAGATCTAAAAAATTAATTAGTTGCATTATTTAATGTTTCGGACGAAACTGAAATATTTCAGCAGATCCGAATCCGAAATAGGTTTCGTTTATTAGGGGGTTTCAAAGTTAAAACGCGGAAATCTAGAAATTGATGACGTATTTATTTTGAAATAAGTATCTGATCTTCAGTTTTGAATGAAAGTTTTACTTTTTATTTATTATTATTATTATTTTTACGAAGTATTATAAAAATTTTTCGATCTCATGAAATGGGGATCTCCAAACATTCCATTTCATTTCCAATTTTAAATTCTTGAAAGACAAAAGATTTTTCAAACTCACATTTAATTTCAAAATGCGCCACTTATTTGTTAATTTCGAAACCCTCTACTATACAAATTTCATTGTATCATGACTATACTGCGGAAATATAATTGTTAGACGAAACGCTAAACCTAGTTTCGTCTTTCGTCAATTAAAATCCTAAATGACGAAATGACGAAACTGACGAAAGGTGACGAAACTGACTAAACTGTAAAGGGTGACAAAGCTAATAAATGCTGACAATATTGAAGATTATGCGTATAAAAAAATAAACTAATGAAAACAGAAATTTATAAAAATTACAAAAAATTTTATTGTATAATTGGTGCTTGAATTGTTTAAAGGGAGTTAGAAATGAGTATTCTATATTGTATTATATTAGTACACTACATATCAGTTCTAGTGAGAAGTCTCTTGATGCTTACTTTGTGATCTTACAAATTTATTTTGTGCCAGTATGTTTTTAATTTGTTATTTGTGCTATTCCATGAGTACTATGGCTTTTTAGCAAGGTTGTTTCAACCGGTCTATAATCACCCTAGCGTTGTCCAGGAAAAATGATCTGGTTTATTTTTGCTAGCATACATGTAATTTCGAATACTGATCTCTGAATAAATTATGAATTTTAATTCAATGAAAATACCAATTTTTTTTTTTTTTTTAGTGGGAGCACTCGAGTTCGTCTTTTTGAGCGTAAGGTTCCGTCATTTTAAGGTTTCGACTTTCATCATAAGAACTTGGGATTTCGACTTTCGTCAGAGGTTTCGTCTTTCAGAAATATTTATGTCATCGGGTTATATTCCATGACGTAAATACTTCTGCATCTATTATCACGATCAAATTATGTATTTAGTAATAAATAAATTCTCATAAAACAAAATTACATAATTGAGTTCATATCATAACAATAATATAGTCATACAGATTTTTTTTTAAAAAAATAATTTTAATTTCTCATATTTCTATGGTAAAATGAAATGCATACATTAAAATTTTCCGCGCCTCAATGTCACCTTATGATTATTAGTTTCTTATTTTTACTTCCTTAGATTGATCATACTTCCGATCGCCCTCTATTTTTATCATTTATCCCTATACTCACCCTACGTTATTACTATATTTAGTTATTACTGTTGCTATCTATAGTTATCCCTTATTTATCTGCCTATACATTTATGTTATTTCTATATCCGATTCTCAATATTAAGTCTTGATAACAATCAGGTGCTCCCTTATTGTTTGCCTGATGAGGAGTTAGTATAGAAGTTTGTTGTTTCGGATGTAAGCTTTAATTAGATAAAGGCGCAAAGGGAAACTTTAATTGGTGTTCTTGAGATTAAAGATTTGTAATAACGGAGGGAAGTTGTTCTGTTGTGTGTATCAGGGCTGGGCAACTGGACAATCGGACAATTGGAAATTTGTCCAGTGTCCAGTGTTCCAATTGTCCAGTGAAATGCACTGGATTAAGAAAAATAATCACTGGACAACAAAATTAAAA